GGCATCCGGTGCTCCCGACATCATGAGGAACAGGACGACAGGAATGATGTACATCCACTGTGGGCCGGACAGAGAGACACAGAGAGAAGGGAGGTGAGTATGAGCAGCATTCCCCCCAGGGCAGGTAAGTTGGGGGCTGGCTTAAGGGGAGGCCGCGTGAGGAGAGGGGCCCAGGTCTCCTACATCACTACGGGTGGGGGGAGGGCAGGTGGGGTGCAGGGAGGGCAGAGACAGGAGGGGGCTTGGTCCTCACTCAGGCCTCCTGCGGTGATGGCGCGGGCCCAGGGGCAGCAGGACGCAGGGCTGTGAGCAACACAGCCCCCCCCAGGATGAGGTGCCACTGAGGAGGGAGGGCGCGGGTCAGGGCCAGTGGTGGCCATGGGGTCCTGCAACCACTGGGGAGGGCAGAGCCAGGGTAGGCAAGCTCTTGGCCTCTCTGAGCCTCTGTTTCCTCGCAACTCAACTGTTGGGCTATCCTGAGGTCAGGCCCCAGGGGCACAGCACTTAGCACCCTCCCACCTGTGGCCAAGGCCCCAGCCACATCAGCCTCCACCACCCGGGGCCTCTCCTCAGGCGGCACTAGACTCCTCTAGCCCGGGATCCCCCAGGTCCAAGGACCCTGAACTTCTGACCTCTGGCAGTGCAGGCCTGTCCCCTCCTCAGCTCCAGACTGACCTCCTGGGCACCCTGGCCCAGAGCGCTGCTACCCCAAATACCCCTGCTCAGAGTTGCCTGCCTCCTGGACCTGGCTGGAGGACCCCACTAGCCCCATCTTTTCCAAACCACCTTTTTCCTTTAAAATCTCTGCCCTGCCCCCCCATCTCCAGCCTCACAGCCCTGGCCCCAGCCCAGGTCAGGCCTCATTCTCTCCACCGGACACTTGTCCCAGCCTCCTCCTAGAGCTGCCCTTACACCTCCCTTCTCCACAGTGCTCCTCACGGCACTTCTTCCAACAGGCATCCATTCAAGACTGACACTGCCTATACTAAGTCTGCCCTGAACCCGGGCATCCCAGTGCCCAGCACGACCAGCTTTGAGCTGGCCATGCACTGAGCTTGGATGCCCCGTGACCGCGCTAAGAGCTGACACGGGCTTCAGCCCTCACCTGCTCCATCCAGACCTAGGCTCAGCCCAGGTACTAGGGGGACACACAACGAGGCCCACACGCAGGAGGCCGGGAGGAGGAGAAGCAGGGTAGGGGGCACTCAGGACAAGAGTGGGGCTTGTCGGGAAGGGGGCAGGGCCAATGGAACCCCCACTCACATATTTGGCGAAAAAGGACTTCTGCTCCTGGGGGTTTTTGGCCTTCTGTGCCTGTTCCATCTCCAAGCGCTCGATGAAGGCCGCTGTCTCTGGGCTGGGGGGATGGAGGAAGGAGATGGGGTGAGGGACCAGAGCCACTGAGAACACCATAAAGGCAGGGGTATGGCCACGCCAGGCCGGGGTTGTGCAGCCCCATCCTGCGCCCTCACCCTGGGGCCGTGACTGGCGGCTGCAGCTGCACAGATGTGTTGAACAGCTCCAGGTCCACGTCCTCCACCTCGTGGCCCCGGCAGCCCCCGGGGTGCGTCACCACTGACAGGCCCACCACGTTGCCAGCCACATCCACGTGCAGTGTCAGCTGGTCCGAGAGGTGGGACTCCACCAGGGAGCACTAAGGGGGTGTCAGGAGAGGGGGGAGCAGGGGCTGCTGCCCAGGCCTTGCTGGCACTAGGACTCCAGAGCCTCCTGCCCCTCACACAGCCCCAGAGCATCTTTCAAAGCCTCCGTGGCCACCCACCCCCTCGCACAAGCCCAAGGGCAGCAGCCTCTCGCAGTCCCAAGACCCCCTCTTGCTGCCATCTCAAAGAACCCACCACATGGGTGCAGCTGGAGAGACCCTCGAGGACGAGGCAGGTCCTCATCACTGACTCACCGCAGGGACAAAGGAAGAGACATAGCCTCCAGCTTCTGAACCATCAGGGGCCCCAGGCCGTCGTGGGACCCGGACACGGTACAGGCCGTTCAGGGCTGCCACATCCTGCAGGGCAGGCAGAGGTGGTGGCGGTGAGAGGGATGATGCCCAGACCCTCCAAGCCTAGACCGCCACTGGGCCCACAGCCAAAAAGGCCCTTCCCAGTCTCACCCAGCCAGCATCGCCCACTCCCGGCCCAGCAAGCGGAAGATGCTCAGGCCTCTTCCCTCTGGGGTGGCCCTGCTGGTGGAGAAGGCCAGGACCCTTGCAGCTACATCTGGTCAGAGGGATAGAGTGGAAGTGGACTGTGGCAGCTTTCTCCAGACTTCCCTAAAGTAGAGCTGTTCCCTCAGTCCCTCCTCTATCCTGCTTCCTGGAGCCCCACCGGAGCCCCAGCAACTCCCTACACCATCCTTAGGGAGGACTGAGCTGGCCTGGGAGGAGCACAGCCCTTGAGAAGGCCATGAAGAGGGCTATGGGAGAAGTAACGCTCTCGTCTATTGTGGGGATCTTTCTCCTCAAAACCAAATCTCATCCTAATGACCGTGACTTGTCTTGGCTGAATCTGGAAGAGGAGGAGGAGCTGGTCGTGTGAAAACTGATGGAGGAGAGGGTGTGCTGGGCAGAGGGACAGCATGGGCAAAGACCCTGAGGCATGCATGTCACACTCCAGAGCACATGTGTCATCCCTGCTTGCCAAGCCCCAGGTCCCCTCCTCACCCGGAGTCGGCCCCGCTCCTCCTCGTTGAGCTGCCGCTGTGACAGGGACAAGGTGCTGTCCTGCTGGTTCCAGAGTATTGAGCCCCGCTTCCGGAAGTGGGAGTTGTCATCTGTAGGGAACCTGGGCTCAGCAAGCACCCCACCACAGCACCCTTCAACACTTGCAGTGACCAGGTCGCTTCCCCACCCTGAGCCCCCATTTTCCCACCTGCAAATGAGGGATACCCCACCACATCCTTACAGAGCAGACCAGGCAGATGCCTCAACCCCACAGCTCCTAAGCCCTGCTTCTGCTTTGCCAGGTGACCCAGGGACATTCACCACCCTGAGCCTGTTTCCCAGCAGCAAAGTACAGGGGCTACAGAGCCCAAGAGCTCCCCGCCACCAGGCTGGTCACAGTCAGTATGGCTTTCTCAGGCAGATGCTAGGGTCTGACCCAGAAGGTCTGAAGAGGGCCCCAGACTCAGTGTTTATAACAAATGCCTCCAGAGTTTGGGCCCCAGATTGATTTTTTTTTAAAATATTTTTATTGATTTTTAAAAATATGTCTTTATTGATTTCATAAGAGAGGAAGGGAGAGGGAGAGATAGAAACATCAATGATGAAACAATCATTGATCGGCTGCCTCCTGCACACCCCCTACTGGGGATCAAGCCCAAAACCGGACCATGTGCCCACACTGGAAATTGAACCGGCAACCTTTTGGGGCACAGGACGATGTCCAACTAACTGAGCCACACCAGCCAGGGCCACACTGACATCTGAATCAAGGCAGTTTAGGCTGGGCCATGGAGTGTGGTGCCCTTCTGAGCCTCAGTTTCCTCTGCTGGAAAATGGAGACACTCCTAACACCTACTCCCTTGCATGACTGCTGTGAGGATGCTTGAGTTAGTACACGTAGAGCATCTAACCACTAGTGCAGGGCACGGGTGACTGGTCAGAAAAAATCTGCTCTGAGGTTATTACTGCTGCGGTGACCTTTCTGAATTGGATTTGTTCTACACTTACAGGAGAGTTAAAGGCAGTTTCTATTCTCTAGTGCCCTCCCACCCCCACCTCCCCAGTGTAATGCAAACACATTCTCAGGGGCAAAGCTTTGTAAAGGGATGGTACCTCATACTGCACAGCGCCCAAACCAGAGTTCCTGACTTCTCAGGGCTCTGGGTAAGTGTTAAGGTGAGGAACCTGCTGGACTCACCGATCTCAAATGAGTGCTCCAGCAGCAGCCCCACGGTGCCACAGCCTTCACCCTCTCGGCCTTCCACCCCCACCTGCAGAGAGAGAGGACCCCAAGTGAGGACCGATAGAGCTCTCATCCTGACCTCAGGACAAGCAGACTGTGAGAGAGGAGCCTTATTTTCATATTCATATCCAAACACTGACGCGCGCCCCAGAAAACCAGAGCCTGCAAACAAGATATCCTTGTTTCCGAGGCAACTACTCCGGGTCATTTTCACGCCTAGTATCATAAACATTCCTGAGTTAAAAGACACCCTATGCTTCCTTTCCAAGCTAATAATACCCAAGTACCCTCGTTTTCACCTTATCTGCCCCAAAGGAGGGATGCACGCCCTCCTTTTCTCCAAATTTCTACTGCTGCTGCATCCTCCACTCTAGCCGTCACATCTGCGCAACCCCAGTTCCAGATTTTAATCACCGAAGTCAAGATCCCGCCCTCTCATGCATATTCAGCCGGCAGAACTGCCCTCCAATCTCTCCAGAGCCCCGCCTTTTACATTTTAGCTTCCCGACGTCTGATTCGCCGGTATTCCGCCGGGCCACACCCCCTCATGCATATTCACGACTGAACATCCCCAGCGTTAGAACCCTGAGTGTCACTCTGGCCCCTACTTTCTCCTGCAGCAAACGTGCAGGTGCCCAGATCCCAGCCGAGCCCCGCCCCTTCGTGCTTTCCTCTCGCTCCCTCCCAGCTGCGCGGCCTCTGCAGGTGCAGGGCTGCAAGCTCGCTTTCCTCTGTTCCTTCGCCTCTCTTCCCTCTTGGCCGTGCACGGCCTCGTTCCCACCTGAACCGACCTCAAAGTCCGAGGCTCGCGATTTCCTTCGGCTTCGCCCCCTGTGCCGAGACAATGAGTACTCACCCCTCGCACGGCGGCCCCAGACCGGCAACCACTGCCCCGCGCCCGGCTGGGGGCTGCGGCCGCCATCAGCAGGAGCAGGAGCAGCCGAGCGGTCCTGGCACCGGCCGCCGCCATTTTAGCCTCTTCCCACCAGCCAATGCGCGAGAGAGCCGAGCGCCGCGGAGCACTCTGGGAGGGACAGCGGCATCCCACCGCCCTTGCGCCTGCGCCGACTCCTTGCGTCTGCGCACTAGCGCCTGCCCGCTCCCGGGGTTTAACGTCAGCAGGGTGGGCACCGCCCCTCGGGTGACGGCACAATCACGGGCGTCTCCCGGTCCGCCGCACTGTGACGTCACAGCGCCCGCGGCCACGCCCTAAGGGGGTGCAGGAGCAGCACAGCCTAAGCCCGCCCTCGGCGGAGCAGGTGTAGTGGGACCAGGTGGGATGGCAGGTGAGAGGCAGAGCCAGGCCTCGGGTTGGACTAGGTGAGAGATGGGGTCGGCAATGTGGGGACACTACTCTCAGCGCCGGGCTGCCCTGGGCCCTAGCAGCCCGGGGGTGCCCGGCCCAGCCTCCTAGAATAGACTCCCGAACTTGGACCCCCTAGGACGCGCCCTCGTTTCAGCCTGTCCCGTGGGCCGGCCTGGACGGCTCCAACGCCACCTTCAGAGTGGCGAGTTCGACGAGCTGCGAGACTTACCCATCTTTGAGAGCAATTTCGTGCAGGTGTGGAGCCCCAGGGCCCCCTGAGCCGGAGCCCTGACCTCCTGACTTGGGGAACCCCAGCTCTCCGTACTTCTGACATCTCCCCCATAACGTCCACCTCCTGGAATTCTGACTGACCCCTTTCCTGATACCTCCAGACCTCTAGCTCCTCTATGAAACCTGGCCTCTGATTCCCTTGCTTCAGTTTCCCTGACTTAACACCTGTATAACTCTTGACCTTTGACCTCAGGATATCTGACTCCCATCTTGGTATTTAATTCATTAGGTTCATGAACCTTAATCCTACCAAGATCCTTGACCTCTCATCCCTCCCCTTGTCCCCTGGCCCCAGGTAACCAGGTTAGGAGAAGTTGCCAACAAAGTAACCATGGGGGTGGCAGCCTCCAGTCCAGCCCTGGACCTCCCAGACCTGTTGCTGCTGGCGGGCCCTGCCAAGGAGAATGGACACCTGCAGCTCTTTGGGTGACTGCCCCCACCCCAGCCTAGACCTCCTTCTCCCCCAGCTCAGGGCATCCTAGGCTCTCTGCAGCACCTCCTTTCACCCAGATGACCCCCAGGGCCAGGAGCTTTGGATGGCTACCCACCCTCTCCGGGCTGCCGCCACCCAGGAGAACAAGGACGGGGCAGTCCACAGGCCAGAAATCAGGGATAGGTAGACATGAGGGGGAACAGTCCTCAGCCACACCCTGGCAGGGGTCAAGAGAATGATCTGCAGCACCCATTGCATGCCAAGCACCCCCTGGGCCACTCACATCATCATCTCACCACACTCATATGGTGGGGCCCCTTAGCCCCATCCTCCAAAGAGATCAACTGGGGCCCAAAGAGGGGAGCCGCTTGCCCAGGGTCTCATAGTGGGTCAGGGGGGTGCTGGGATTGGAACCTCAGGCTCCTCATAGTTGCCGACCTCACGATGCTCAAACTCCTGTGTCACGCCACACACCGTCCCTTCAGGTCTCTGATTCTTTGTGGAAGAATGCAGATCCACTCCAAGGTATAAAACACACATAACACAAAATAAACTTTTCTCCCATCCTAGGCTCCTGCGTCCAACTCCAGCTGCAAATACCAAAACATTCCCATGGGTGTAGTGTATTTAGAGAAGCAACCTGCCAGTGGCCTTCTCTGTAACTCACTTGGTGGCAGAATCTGATTCTGACCTGAACTAAAGGCTACTTACAGCCTTTATTTATCCCCATCAGTGAGTTTAAAACATTCCACAAAGCAGTATTCAGACGTCTTATGGTGCACCAGACATTTTCTACATTCCTTTTCAGTGCTAATTGTATTCCACCAGTTGATCTCAAACTACTCACTGAGTCACGACCTTCAGTTGGAAGGACACTAAGGATGGTGCGGAAGGGCTTTGACCCTTAAAATCTTCAGCACCCTCCCCTAACCCCCCATCCCCCAATAAACATACCATCTAAGTAAAAACATTGAGCTTGCTCCACAAACAGCCTCAAGACTCACCCTGGCCCTCCCTGCTAACCAGCTTATAGTCTAGAGTTACTCTGGACCATTTCTGATGGGCATCTAGTGCGTGTTGGCCCTTTAATAGTTGCAGGCACATGCTCTATGCTACTTTCCCTCTACTCACTCCCCAGCATGAGGTCAATATTCATTTCAAATCAACATGAGTACAGCCACCAGGTCCTCCTTTGGACAAACTCCGGGCCCCTGGGGCACCACTCTTGCTGCTACAATGTAGTAGGGAACATACTTGAACAAAAGGCCACCCTTGGGTGACCTCAGTTCAAATCCTGACTTCACCTTTTCACTGGCTTTGGCCAAGTTCCCTACTGTCTGTGCCTCAGTTTCCTCATCTGGATCATGGAGATAAGGGGAGAGCCCACCTCCAGGGCTGCTGGGGGATAAACTGAGTAAAAGTGCTTAGAACAGCAGCACCTGGCTCAGAGTAAGCTCTCCATTAATGTCAGCTGTTACCCTTCCATTCTGAGAACATAATAGGTGGAATCGGCCACTGAGGTTGTGTCTGGTGTCTTGGGGTTACAGACAGTGTGGCAGGCAGGGGACATCCATGTGCACAGGTGTGAGGGTGTCTGTAAGATCACTTCCTAGAGGCAGACTTCCTGGGCCAGAGGGGGCATATGTGGCTTCCTAATTGTTGTGGTTAAGAACATGGACAACTTGGGTTCAGACTCTGCTGTGTGACCTAGGCCAAATTACCCCACCTTCTCTGGCTTGTTTCCTTTTCTGCCTTGTTGGACCTCACATCAGGCTGGGAGCCTGAACAAGTCATTTCTTCAAATACTCCACAAGTATCCATGGAGAACCTACTATGTGTCAATCTGGGTACTAGGGAAGCAGCAGTGACAAAATCAGACAAAAATCTCTGCCTTCCAGCTCACCTTCTACTGGGCGAGCTGACAATAAACGGCAATTTGCCCAATGGGATAAAAGTGAAGTACCAGGCAGGAACCACCCGGAGGTCTGCAAGCGTGGACATGGTTGCAAATAGGCCAAGGGTTGTAAGCAGACTTCCCTGAGAGATGAAGGGGACGGCTGGAGGAAGATTTCAGGCAGAGGGAAGAGCCTGTGCAAAGGTCCTGAAGTAGGACCAAGCCTGGCAGGCTTATGGAACAGGAGGCCAGTGTGGCTGGAGCGGAGTGGGCCGAGGAAGTAGGCGAGAGGTGAGGGCAGGGGGGAGGCGGAGGGGATGGGGGCAGGCCCTGCAGGGCCTCGGGATCCAGGTGAGGACTTTGCTGTTCTCTGAGCCACGGGAAAGACCGGAGCCAACTCAGTGTTGACCGGCGCCCTCTGGCGGCCGCGCGGGGAACAGGCGGGCTGGGGGCTGAGGCGGGAACGAAGCCGGCGGGCCCCGGCGGCGGCGTTGGGGCGGGAGAAGCGGAGCTTGGATACATTGTAGCAGAAGGGCCGCCAGGCTTCCGCGGCAGGACTGGGTGGGGGTGAGAGAGTCGGGTCAGGAGCAACCCCACGTGTCTGACGGAGCAAGTGGGAGGGCGTGGTTGAAACGCGAGGACAGGACGGCGAGGAGGGTCTGGGGCGGGGATAAGGTCAGAAATTTGGTTGCCGGACATCGAACGTGTCCGATGACGAACCAACATCCAAACGGAGCTGGGATTCGAGTAGGCGGCTGTCTCTTCATGCCTGGGGATCCGGAGGGAGGGCGCGCGGGAGGCACGAATGCGCGTGGTGCATGGAAGCAGCGGGTGGATAAGGCTCATGGGGCAGAGAAGGTGGAAAAGGACCCAGGGGGCGGAGGGCGGCGACCCCGACTCCGAGGGCGCCGGGGCTGCGGAGCCGGGGCAGGTCTGAACCTGCGGCCGCCCCTTCCGCCCGCCCAGGATGCTCCCCTTGCAGTTCGTCCGGCTCTACGTCCACGACATCGTACGAAGGCAGCTCAAGGTCAAGTTTGAAACGGGCCGCGCCTGCTACCTGCAGCTGCGGGGCCCGCGCGCGACCCTGGACTGCGAGTTCAGCCAGTGGGTGCGGCTCATCTACTGCCTGCGCTTCCCCTCGGCCCAGGGAGACGGGCCCTTCGCGCAGGACTGCTCGGTGCGGGTGCCGGAGGACTGGGAGGAGCTGGACGACGGCGACTACGACAGCGACGAGTACCTGACGGGGCGGGGCTTCGGGAGGGGGAGGCGCGGGCCTTGGGATGCGGAGACAGGACGCGGGTCAGACTCCTGGGTCTGAGGGAGGCGGTGGCTGGGGGCCTGGATGCCTGTGTCCGAGAGGGACGTGACCAAGGGCCTGGACTCCGGGTCCTCAAAGGGTATGAAGCCTGTGCTTAAGGGACAGCCGGCATTCAAAGCAGGGCAGGGTCTCCGGGCCCAACTGGGCATCCCCCCTTCCAGCCTCCCTCCAGGGCGCATCTGGGGAGGGAAAGCCTGGGCCTGGAAGGGGTGGGGTCAGCCAGGCCAGGGACCCAGTTCCCGTCAGGCCTGAGGGAGGGGAGGGCGCCTGTCCTCGAAACTGGGCTCACTGGGGGCTGCAGGGCCCCTTCCTCTGGAGACACCTGCTCCCCTGCCTGCAGCTCCACCTGCAGTCCAGGCCTCTGAGACAGACTCTCTCCACGCAGCTTCGAGCCGTGGAGGCCAATCTGAACCAGCAGGCCTCAACTCAGGGGACTCGGATTCCTCCAACAGTCTTTGAAGTCACCAAAGGACCAGAGATCTAACTACCCTACTTCAGGGCTGGAGAAATGACTTATTAAAGTTAATAAAGGTTGGCCACTTAAGAACCAACACGCAGGTCACGAGCAGGTTGGCCGTCATCACCAATTCCACGAGGCCACCTGGCAGAGCAGCCTCAGCGTGGGTGCCTCAGTGTGGTCTTCGCGCATGGTGTCTGCCTCCTTGGGGACCACCCCTGGGCCCTAGTGCCCCCATTCCATCATAGCTCCCTCGCCAGAGGAGCCTTCCCAGCCTGGCCTTTGGTTCCTCCCTGACTTGCTGCAGTTGCCACAGCAGCCGGCCTGCCTTGTCCCCACGCGTGGTAGCCAGTCTAAGAGGGCTGCCTCCCAGTGGTTTTGGGTTCGCCTCTGATGCTGTGTAGTTGCCATGGCAACGTGGTTGCCTCACTAAAGTACCTATTCCCAGATGGCAGCCTCCGCATGGTATGTTTCATCAGGGGGTTGCCTCATGGTGGAGGCCACTCCAACCTGGCTGTTCCCACCCCATTACCTGCCCCCAGGTGATCAATCCCTACACAAGGAGGAAGACAGAACTACGGATTCAAGAGACAGACACATGCGTCTCCAGACAAGATTGTAATCTTCTCAGTGAGAGCTCCTGAAAAAGAAACCGTCCAGGGAGGTCCGGGTTGGGGCTCAGCAGCCAATGATCTGGGCACATGGGAGACAGTCTCACTGAGGCACTGTGGGCGAAATGAGAAAAGGGGGCTAAGGGGGGTGGCAGGGACCTGGCTTCCCAGCACAAGTGCCAGTCCCTGCCAGGCCCCCACTAGGCCCCTTTGCCTGCTGGACTCAGTTGACCAGCAGGGGAAGCAAGTGTCCCCTTCAGCACCCCGCTCCCAACTTCATCTCTGCTGAGTGGCCACCCCAACGCCAGGGCGCCTGTAATGGCTGGAGCTCTGAACCCCAAACTGGGACATTCTGAGCAGCTGCTGGCGACAGGCTGTCACTGGAACCCTGAGGTGGGGATATTTCTGAGCTGATTCAATAGCTGATAAAGGGGACAGCAGATCAAGAGAAATGGTGTCAGCCTAGAGGAGTGACAGACATGAAGGCTTGCAGGTCTCAGCCCTTGTTGAGGGGCTGAGGTCCCCTCTGTCTGTTGGGCTGTCACTGGGGCCAGGGGAAGGCACAGTCAGGGAGGGACTCTGGGAGCCGCCTCTGAGGGACCTGGTTAGAGACCTCCCCACAGGGAGGCCTTGACTGTAGGATGCTGGATGGACATGAGCCCAGTGTGGGGGAGGTGAGGGAGAGTGCTCTGGGTAGACAGAATGGCATGTGCCAAGTCCCACAGCCAGGGGGGCGCGCAACCAGTTTGTCCAGCTGCCAACCACTTGGGTGGCTGGAACAGCGTGGAGGGAAATGGGGATACATGAGGGTGGAGAGGGGCAGGAGGGGGCCACATGCAGGACCATGACACCAGGCTGAGGGGCTCCAGGGCTGCTGGGGAACCATGGAGGACAAGTCACCCCTAGATAGAGTCCTCTAGGGCCCTGAGTGGGGTGGACTGGAGAGAGACACCTAGGCGGGGAGGCTGGCCAAGTGAGAATTCAGAACAGGCTGGGGCTGTGGGGCAAAGAGGAGGGGACCTGGCAGGGTGAGGCAGGGAGGAGCAGAGCTTGGGGACAGGCTGTGCAGGAGGGAGGCATTTTTCTGGGCTCCCACAGCCCCAGGGCCCTGCCATTACCTATGTTTGTTCCCATGCTGTGTCCACACGCCTCCCCACTGGAGGCTTAGCGATCACTTGCTAAGCTCTCCTCACTCCTTATTTGTCCTTCAAATGCTCTGGAAAACTTGACTCCTACCCAGGCTGGGCAGGTGCTCCCTCCACCCCACCCCTCTGATGCCCTGCGTGGCCTTCACTGCAGCCTGTCACCCTGCCCTGTCCTGTTGGTCTGACTGCCCTCAGCTTTGTAAAGGGCGTGAGTGCGGGTCGGCCGGTGGGCAGGGGGCGCCACCTCCTCACCTCGGACCTCCAGCTTGCACTCGGCCAGCGCCTCCCCCAGCTCGTTGACAGCCCGGCAGGAGTAGGTCCCGGTGTCGAAGGGGGATGGGCGGCGGATGTTGAGGGTCAGGATCCCCTGGTAGTTGGTTATCAGGAACTTGGGGTCCTCTCGGATTTCCATCTTGTTTTTCATCCAGATCACCTTGGGCTGTGGAGGGAGCAGGAGAGGGGCCAGCTTAGAGAGGCTCCCCTGGGCGGTGGCGGAATGGGCCGGAGGAGGAGGATCTGAATTCTCATTTGGGCTGTGCCGCCCCCTAATTTTGGCCAGATAGGCTTGGCCTCGTCACTTTGCTGACCAGTCTCCTCTTCTGTAAAAGGAAGAGCTCATTCCTGTGTGTCCCGCAGGGCCCATCTGGCCCGTTGCTCTGCCCTCGCCTCCCTCTGCCCCAACCACACCGGCCATCCCGCAGTTCCTCAAACAGACCCCACAGGCTCCCACCTCAGGCTGTTTCCCTCCTCTCGCCAATCAGCACCTGCCCCGCTGGGGTCTCAGCTCACAGGTCACCCCAGCCTCTGGGCTGGGCCCGAAGGCCTGTGTCACTAACTGCTGCCTGAGCTTCTCGGGCACCCTTAGCGCCCTTTGTAACTTTGTAGTCATTTGTGTGAGCTTGAGTTAATGCTCTGCCCAGCACACAGGAGCTTCTTACCCAGTTCAGCACATAGGAAGCCTTGGAAAACACGTGTTGAAATGATAAACGGAGTGGAGGAATGAATGAGCAAATGAATGCTGTAAATAAGCAAGTGCAGTGAATGAATGAACTGAGTCAATGAACGGAATGGGAGGTAAATGAGCGAGTGGAGTCAGTGGCTGAGCAGATAGGTGGAGTGGAGGGAAACAATGAATCCATGCGGAGCCCACAGGGGCCAAAGCTAAAAACTTGGAAGTCAGACCAGAAGTCAGCAAACTGTGTGTGTACAGGGCCAAGGTAGTGGATATTTTAGGCTCTGAGGGCCCTGTGGTCTCTGTGGCCCTGGACAGTACACAGGTGAGTATGCAGGGCCACGTTCCAATAAAACTTGAGAGACACTGGTGGCAGGTGGATTTGACTCGTGGGTTAAAAGTGAGCGAATTCCATGAACGGAGAAGAGACAAGTCATAGAGAAGGGGGCTGTGACGGGAAGGGTTAGGGACTTCATCTTGCTGAAGACTTCCCTCCAGGGCCACAAGCCCCACGCGCACACGCACGCACCTTCGGGTGGCCTCTGACAGCACAGTTGAGAGCAGCGGTGTAACCAGCCACGACCACCCGGTCGAGCAGCGGCGTCAGGAACTTGGGGGGCATCCGGAAATCATGTTCCTTGTACTCAAGAGGTTTCCAGCTGATGCCTGGGTAAGGGGAGATGAACCTGTAAGGTGACCGATCCTGACTGTTCCCCAACCGCCCTCCTCTGTCACCAGGTACCATCGCCTTGGAGTCCAGGGATGGGGAGTGCAGAGGAGTCATGGTCAGACCCCAGCCGGGAGGGGAGACTGGACCCTGCAGAGGGGGGCCATACCTGTCTTGAGGATGCAGGCTGTGTCCTTGGAGACACCAGGGGAGTCACTGAGCCCACAGAAGTTCTCGCTGAAAACTCGGAAATAGTATTCGTTACCCACGATGAGGTCGGATACGGTGCAGTGGGTTTGGCGGTTGTGTTCATAGACATTAAACCACTCCTGGCGTGGAGACAAGGAGGGCCCAGAAAAGTCAGGGACACAGACACCAGAAGTGGCGGGAGTGAGGACAGCAGACCCACGCGCGCTCGGAGCTAAGGAACCCGCCCTTCACAGCACTGTCCCCTGTGGCCCTAAGACGGGAACAACCCAAGTGCCCATCAGTGGGTGAATGGAGAGGCACCGTGGCGGCCTCAGAGCGGTGAAACACCGACACCTGCTACAATGTAGCGCCGACACCTGCGAAAGGGGCTGCGTAAAAGAGGCCAGACACAAAAGGCCCCCGTTGCGATTCTGTTCACAGGAAATGTCCAGAACAGGCAAATCCACAGGGACAGGAGAGGCGGTTGCAGGGGCTGGGGGAGGGGATGTGGGGTGACAACTTAAAGGATAAGGGGCTTCCTTTCAGGTGCTGGAAAGGTTTTCGGACTAGATAGCAGCAGTGGTTGCCCAACACTGGGAATGTACTAAATGTCACTTTAAAAGTAATGCTTAATTTTGTTATGCAAATTTTACCGCCATGAAAAAGAAAACCTGTCGTGCACCAAACCTCAGCCAAAAGCCTGCCCTCCGGGCCCCAGCCCCTTCTCCGAGTCTCTTGGTGCCTCGGTTTCCCCAGCTGCTCTGCCAAGCCCCGGCTTTCCTGCCCCCTAGCTCGCCCTGCCCCGCCCCAGCCCCTCTGGTCTCTCACCATGGTTTTCTTGTCTGCTTTCTGGATGAAATACCCGGTGACCTCACTGTTCCCGTCATCTTTGGGGGGCTGCCACTCCACCAGCGCGTTGGTGCCCCACACCTCCTTCACCGTCACGTTCATCGGGGGCCCTGCCTTTTCTGTAAGCGGGGTGCCAGCCGAAGCATCCCTAAAGGTCCACCCCTCCTCCTCTCCCGGTTCTGATACCTCTCAGCCCCTCTCATTCCCCCGCCTTTGTGTGCTACCCCACCTCACACCCTCCCTCCCCCCTTCAATCTCTTCACTCTCCCCTCCCGGGCCATCCTCATCTCACCTCACCTCCCACTCTGGTTCCCCCACCGCAGCCTCTCTGTCCCCTCCCGGCCCGCCTGGGCCACGAACCCACGACCCGGATGCGGATGGTGGCCGTGTCCTTCATGTTCTCGATCTGCACATTCAGCTCATACTCCCCCGAGTCGGAGCGCGCGGCCTGGCGCACGAAGAACACCGTGTCCGTGTCACTGGTGCGCACGTTCACACGGGAGGAGTCCACGGGCGCCCCGCCCTTCGTCCACACCACCTGGGGCCGGGGCTTTCCCTGGGTGGGCAGCAGGGAGCAGAGGTCAGGCTCTCCCATGGCAACTGACCCCTGCCCCCCGACCCTGACCCCAGCCACGCACCTGGAAGGGAATGAGGAGGTTGATGGGCTCCCCTACTTTGCGG